GGGGGAGGGGAGGAGAGGAGGAAAGAAGGGAGAGGGTGAAGGAGGGAGGAGGGAGGGAGGGAGGGGGAGGTCGTGATATAGTGCTACCCTGTGTTAGTGGGCCGAAAACGGCACTATATCCATCCAGGCACTGTAAGATAATGAGATTTACGGCTTTTTTGCAGCCACTCCCTTGGCATCACTGCTCAGAAAGACCGCTCGCAGGACGCCATCACTCATACTTCGCATCTTCACTACAGACTCAGTCTAATCAAGCATTTCTGTTATTAGTAGCTGCCGAGCCGTCGCATTGACTTCCTCCTTTTTCGCAGCGATAAATTCCAGCCTACACTTTTGCAGATGTCCAATTGCATCATCGACCCTGCCTTTTTCCGCCATAGTCTCTATTCTAGTACGCAACTGCATAATATCTTTCCGCGGCGGCAGCGGCTCTCGGGCAGTACGTCCATCCAACTGCCTTGCCTCTCTGGAGACCCTTCGTTTTTGGCTCAATATTCATGCCACCCACAGAAGGGTGGCACTATATCGGAGCTGGCACTAACAAAGATGGCACTATATCGCGACCCCCCCCCTGTACTCACAAACTAAACGCATAGACTTTGATGATGAGATGGAAAGAAAGTTGGAGTGGGAATTGTTCGAGCTATTAAAAAAGACGACGACCCCGCAAACGGCTGAATTGCTTACAAAGTGGTTTTTGTTTGAACCAATATCCTTCTCAGAGCGTTTTCTATGCGCCAACAACTGAGAAATGAGGCAGAAAATGGCCTATTTGCTATCAAAGTGATGATCGTAAGTGTATGAGGACCAAGCCCGTGAGACATATTTCATGGGCATGTTCAAAGATGAGCCACAAGTCCGAAGATGAATACAAACATCCAGGGCATGTGCGGGAAGGACCAGAAAAAGGCCCTTCAGATATATGACTAGGCTGTCTCGGCCCACAAAGGCACGCGACAGAACTCCAACTCGACAGTCTGCAGTACCCTTGGGTACAACAAAGACGGCTATCATGGAATCAACCGTCTCTTCTGACTGGAAAGGAAAGCTCAAGCTGAAGCGAAAGAGGGCAAGTGAGCTTCTGTGGACATCGTCACAAGTATGACTCACAATTCACAGCTGGACATACTCACAGGTCCCGTTCGATGATGTTTCTGTACGCTGAAATGATGCACCGCCTAAGCTTAAACAATGTTGTGGAGCATGGCTGATTTCATAACATGGAACTTCGTCCTGGACCTTTCAAAAGCTCCAGGACAAAGTTCCGTAACACGGAGTTCCATGTTACGTCCTGGAGCTTTTGAGTGGAGTATGGAATAGGCGAGTTAGTGAGAGGCAACAATATAGTATTTGGCACCGGGTGGCACATGGGCGGCACCGGTGGTTTAAGGTTCAGAAAAATGAGCACGATATGACGCATGTGTGATGGATGGACTGTGTGACATGAGGGGTCTAATCGTCACGCTGTGACCATTCATTCAACCGGTGCCGGAATTGAAGCTTAAAGGATCAATTGTCGAGAAACGCCCAAGTTTCATTAGTCAACGCGTGATTTCTTACCAGAAATATTTTCGGTGATGGTTTGCCCTGGTGAGCTGGATCGGATGGCATTTCAGAGGCCGCTTCATGAGAATTCATATTTTCGGGTCCTTTTCACGGTGGTCAAAATGCGGTTTTCACCGTGACGATCTCGACCACGGTGAAAACGGCTGTTGGTAAGATTTTCCGGACGTTTAGCATCAAAACCCTATTTTCACGTTTTAATTTTCGTTGTACATGTGTCGTCGGCGACGACGACACATGTACAAACGTCGGCGACGACGACTCGTCGCCGTCGGCAGTAGTTTCTGTCATATCGAAATGTTGCGCATTGCTGTTCCCAATCTTCAAATCTTCGAAAATATTACTGCTAGCCGTGACTTGGAGGACCAGTTATTTCTACCGTGGCCAATTTGTCACGGTGGAAAACACCATCGGTACGGTGCAAAACACCATCGGTACGGTGCAAATGACCCCCAGAAAACAGAATTCTCATGAAGCGGCCTCTTTCAGCACGTTTTTCACATCAGCAATTACATACCTAGAACTCTCTGTACCGGCGTTAGGTCATCTTGTACAGTATGTCTATGATGGCGTGCGTGACATCGGTCCGGGATGAGAGTCAGGCGGCGGTGTTGTAATGAACAATGGCTGCTGCAATGAAGCAAACGTTTCTTCGGGACAAGTACAAGGAGCCCGCACACGTCTTCCGTAGCTCTACCAGTGATGTGTTTTGACGCGTCCAGGACAGAGAGAAGCGTGGTCAGTATGAGCGCCAAGGCGAGGCGGGCTATTGGTCCGAATTCTGCGAGGAAAGCATGTCCTGTCCAGAAGATGAGCAGTTTTGCGTCATTTGAGGTGAAGATAGTCTACCTCAGTGAATGTATGTGCAGTAGGGAGGTCCCTGTTCACCTCATACGCAGAATGCCAGGTCTGGGTCTGCCAGACGGGCAACATGCAAGCGCGCATGACTGGAGGCACCGCGAGAACCGATGAGCTGTGCGAGCAGGGAGATCACGGAGGAGAATTGAAGGGCAGACGTGGCTAGATTATGAACGGCCGAGGAGCTACCCCTCGAGGAGGGGTAGTGTCTGAGTGACACATGTACAGGAGACCCTACCCATTAGTGCCGCCCCGTGCGAGACCCCAAAAACAGGCACTATTGGGAGATGGCATTAGTAGGTGATGTCGTCACATCTATTTTCATGCACTCGGTAATTAACGTCTGCCTGCTCCGCGTTGGTTCTCTGTCGTGTTTTGCAGTGAGAAACGCGTTCGTCGGCGAAATGTCTAGACCTCAACGAGCACTCCGTAAAGTTTATCAGGATCTGGTTTAAGTGAAGCCCTCTGATCGATGATGTTTTTTGTGACAGAACCAGGAGTTACGCCGCTACCGAGCTCTTTCAGTGCCGCTCATGGCCTCTTTTCTCAGCTTTGGAGCGCCAAAAGGACTATAGGCGAATGTGTTGCGGATTATGGCCCCTTGGAAACTATGAAGTTCACTCGAATGACTTCAAACGCCTCCAGAAGGACTGCTGATGCAAGGAAGATTGAACAGTTATTATATTCATCCGTTTATGTTTGAGAATAAAATGGGTGCATTCTGAAATGGCCGGAAAACCAAATTACCAAATATCGACCAATGAAAATGCGATAAATTTGTCGGATTTTCTCCAGATGCGAAGATCTGTAGAGGGGTCACTGATGTCGGTGTCAACACCTCTACAGTTCGCCAGTTGCTCCGCCAAATTTCCCGCGATCCAAATAGGGCCACTCTGCGCCCCACCCATCATCTATGACTCCCATTTTCTTGCGAATGCCTTATTCATACAGTAGCGCACCCGCCAATTCGCTAGGAAAACTGGCGAACTGGAGTCGGAATGTTTTTCATTTCCGGGGTGCCGCCGCCACATTTGGTAATTTGGGAAAATCACAGTTTCGGAATGCACCCAATGTATCTAAATGTACTTCTGGGTCTTTCAAATAATATTTCAAGTTTCCTTTCGCTTCTTTCATTACTCTTTTTGCAATAGATGGTTCGCAATGTGACTGCTTCTTAGACCATATCTGCTCTTTCAATACATTACAAGGGGGGGGGGGGGGGTGGGGGGGGCTCCTCAATAGTTCGCTTTTGAATAGTTCGTTACGCCAATAGTTCGCATTTCTGACGATGTCACGGCTTTTCAGACGTGTACACGTGTACCTATTCAGACCGGCGCGGCCGCCACTGTCCTCCCTTAAATTGTTCATGCTCCAAGAGCACGAGTATAATCTCTTCTTCATCCCGCCCCGCAGCCGTCCACATTGCGCGCAATGACGTTGAACTCCGCACCCGCTGTCAAAAGCATGCGCAAAAGATTGACTCTCTCCGAAAAAGCAGATATTATTCACCAGCTCTGTACAGTAGGTACCTCTCAATAGTTCGCCCCCGTGCCAGGACCCACAGATACGACCTATTGACAGAACGAACTATTATGCTCGCCTTTCTGGCACATCTCCATTTATTGCTTAGAATGCTCTGAAATGATTGTCTGCCGTGTTCTATTCCTTGTCTGCTCTCGGTAGGTCTCGAAAAAGACTCGTTTTGCCCGACGAAGCCCTTTGCTGGCCGCAATAAGACCTGTCCTTTCTGCTAAAACCTCCACTCCCTCAAACAACGGTCGGGACCACAACGGTCTACACGAGTACACGTGTACACGTCTGAGAAGGCGTGACATGGTCCGAAAGGCGAACTATTGACCAAACGAACTATTCAACTGCGAACTATTGAGGAGCACCACTGTAATGGGTTCACCGTGAGAGATGCAGCAACTCGTTTCGGTTGCAATCCGCGAACAATTCAAAAGATCCGTAAGAATTCTGTACGAATTCTCAATTGTTATTGAGAAACTACTGCCACTGTCCGATGTTGCGCAGTTATTTGAGGGGGTGGAGGCTTTAGCGGAAAGGGCAGGCGTCGTTGCGGCCAGCGAGGGGCTTCGTCGGGCAAAGCGAGCCTTTTTCGAGGCATACAGAGAGCAGACGAGAAAGAGAACATGGCAGACGCTCATTTCCGAGCATTTTGGGTAAAGGACCTATGCCAGCAATGCGATCTTAAATGTTCGTTCTGTCAATAGTTCGCATTTTTGGGTCCTGGCACGGGGGTGAACTACTGAGGGGTGCCTACTGTACTACAGTACTATTAAAATCCACCCGTGAACGAACGACACCGACCCGCTGAATTGCTGACAGTGTCATTAGGCAGCAAGAAAACAGGCATTGGCATCGTGTTCAACCTCAAACTGCTAATTTCCTTTTATCTCTAGACAGGTCCAAGGTTAGGACTGTTGGACGTCTGACAAATTCTTGCATGCGATCCGTACAATTGGTGAACCTATCCCGTCGCGCGAGCTCTTGCACCTGCTCCGTTGGGTATGGCACGTCAGACTCGTCATCGAAGTACAATTCATTCCGGTACATGGCACATCTATAAAAGCCTGTGTGGTGTGGAAGAATTTGCAAAAACTTGAATTGTACTTCGGTTGACATCTTGCTGGCGAAATGAAGTTCCAGCAAAAAGTGTTTCAGCGAACGTGGTTTCGGCCGTGGCCACCATATCAAGAAGAAATCTTCTTCTGCAGAAAACGCCAAAGGTTTCAACTTGCGCGGGTTACGCAAGGCACTTAGGGTAGCCTTTGTCGAAAGATGATGGACTACTGTTAAGGCTGCAACCCACTCCTTAGCGTGCTTCCTTCCATCAAATCGATCATCTTTGTAAAAACTGTAAATGCTGGTCGGCTTCAACTTTAAAATTGGCTTCTCAGAATGACAGGAGAGTACTGGGCAGACGGTAGGGGAACGATTCTGCAGACAGCAAGCTGTTATGGTGTCATCCTGCTTGGAGCAACTATCCATGTTAAGGATCCAAATTTCACCGTGACACTCACGAAACTCGTACGCCCCATTATTCCAAGCAACAGCTCCATCGAGAATGCACGGAGCATTTTGATCCGGAAAATGCACAAGCTTGAATGATGGAAGAGTTCCTCGGAGGATGCCGATTACGAGACTTCTATGCCCAGCAATGGGAGGTGCTGATGGATAGTTATCAGTAGAGGGGTCATGGTAGTCGAGAATGACGGCCGGGATAGGAGAAGTTTCGCTGTTGCAGTGCGCGATGCAGAACATGTTCCTGTTATCGGGTAGAACTTCTGCGGGGAAACGAACGTTATGAGCGGGTATAGGGCCGCAGTACTGGTGCGTGTAGGGCGGCGGCAACGACAAATGGCAGGTCAAGAGCGGGTGAGACTCGGCGGCTGAGGAAAAGTGGGGGCCGAATCGGTATGCGCGGGACCAGTGCACTTCCAAAGAGTAATTCGACAGGATGTCTCAGGGCAGCGGGTACCGGCGGGGGGCCTCTACTGCGTACGACAGGAGGAAGTGGTACCGAAAGTGGGAGAGCTGGTCGTACAGGTGGTACGATAGAGCGTCTGGCATTCAGTCGCCTAAACTTTCAGCTCTCCAAACAATTCCGCGATCTCAACGACAGAGGGTACAGTCCTTCTCTCTCTCCCGTCCTCTGCGATCCCATCTTCAGCACTTGATTGCTTTGCAGTTGAGTTCGTCAGACCCTGACTCGTCTCAAAAACAGCATAACAGCAGCATAACAGCAGCATAACACCCGGACCCGTGTGACACGTAGCACTTTTCGTGTTCGCGCGTCTGGCCGGCATTAGTGGGAGGGTGGCATAAGTAAAAGCGGCACTAATGGGCGGCCCCCCCTGTACTCATGTGAAGACTTTCGTCTCACATAAGTACAGTAGTCGACCTATTTTATTCTTGATTTTCACTTCCACGACAAGAAAGAAAATGATACCCCCGCCACCGTACTTGACTTCTGACTTGGGACCAGAAAGAACTTTGTGAGAATTGCATGTGCTTCGTGGTCGTTTTTAGATATGTCTGGAAAACAAGCTTTTCTAAACCACCCTAAAAGCCCATGTAAAGCAACTTCGAAACCAAAAATGCCAGTTCAAAAAGGCAACTTGGTACTCAATCTGTATTATATTCTTAAGCTTTTTGCGTATTCAAAGCTCTGCTATTAGGGTGTTCTGCAATATGCTGTTACCCAAAACACGCACGTTAAGGAAATAGTGCTCAAGGTAGCTTTTTGAATGTTCAATTTAATTTATATATATTTTGCGAAAAAAGAGCTGTCCTCATATGAGCACATCGCCGGCCTCATATGAGAACAAGCCCCTGTCGGATAGGTCTATCACTAGAGGTCGTCAGTCATGATCTGCCACTAGCTGATGCAGTCCTTCGGGTGAGGGAGGTCTCCTACGACTTTGTGGAGTCTCCCACGCCGTTGCGATGTGTTCGGAGCCTGTGAGTCGCTTGTACGTTGCTAATACAGAAATGTCAGAGCGGGGGCGGCCCCCGCGTGGACGTCGCCGGGGATTGGCTTGTCGCCAGGAAGGCGTGGGGCTGCTGCGATGAAGAATGGTCACGCGAGGTCGCAGGCAGGGCGCTGGTTTGAATTGTGTCGGCGGAAACGTTGCGCAAAGGGGTCCACCGCTGGCAAGCCGTTGGGTCATTGATGCACCAAAGCTGCCTTTGTTTATGAAGTGTTCACCGTTGCGGTGCATCTGAGAAAAGAGCGAGATAAAATGAGGTCAATTTTAAGCCAAAAAGTAGGATTTAATTCTAATTTTGTACTTTTGAATAATGGTTGTTGACTTCTTGCCACTTATCTACGCATGCAATGCTTCCGAAGTGGCATGCCCCTGGACAAAAAGCTCAGCTTCGCTACACTGACACACCCGGGGTTCCAAGTCATCTAGACCAGGCGATTGCGCTTGAGGCCGCAACATGGCCTTTCCTTCACACAACTCGGACAGCGCTTTTCCGCAGCCACAGTCTCCCAATACCCTCAACTCTCCCACTTCTCCAGCCTCGGCCACATTCGCCGACGAAAGCGATCTCTTCGTGCAAGACGAACCGCATGTTGGTGAGCTTCATCTCGTCCCCTGCGCACTTGACGTGTACTTGGATTTGCCGAACAAAGCAGAAGATCGTTACGAACTTGTTGAAGGAATTTTGTTTCATCGACCCAACATGGCCAATACTCAACACGCGATCATAAAGGAATTCCTCGTGACTAAGTTCAGGGCCGTCAAGCTGACCGGTAACAATCGTGTGAATATCTACCCTGAGATGAAAGTTAAGGTCTCTTCCGGGAAGAGTCGGTCGCCGAGCGTCCGAGTTCCGGATGTTGTTGTGGGTCCGTACACTTCCTCTGAAAGCACCGGTAACGCATCTCCCCGGTCACAGAAAATCATATTTCACGAAGACAACATACCACTCATGGTAATAGAAATCACAAGCCCGAGCAACAGACTGACCGACATGAACGCCAAGTCTGAGGAGTACTGCCGCACTGGGATTGCGACATATGTTATCATAGACCGTGAGACGGATCGCGTGATAGTAAGAAAGCTAATCCGAAACACCCGTTCTCGTCTTGACTACGACTCAGAGGTTGTATACACAGGGGATACGCTTGTGGACTGCTTTTTGTTCCGTGAACGTAACCTAACTGCAGAAAAGATATTTAGACCGCAGCAGACCGCAGAAGAGGCCGCCCAGTCACCGACCCGGAGAGAAGAGCGTGCAAAGGAAAGAGAACGGCGTGCAAAGGAAGAAGCGCAAGCAACTGCTGTATCAGAACGGCGTGCAAAGGAAGCAGCCCAAGCAAAGGCAGAAGCAGCCCAAGCAAAGGCAGAAGCAGCCCAAGCAACTGCTGTATCAGAACGGCGTGCAAAGGAAAAAGAACGGCGTGCAAAGGAAAAAGAACGGCGTGCAAAGGAAGCAGCGCAAGCAACTGCTGTATCAGAACGGCGTGCAAAGGAAGCAGCACAAGCAAAGGCAGATGCAGCCCAGGCGAGAGTAGATGAGCTCGAAAGGCAGTCCGGGAAAGGCAAAGGCGGCTCTTCCGCGAGAGGTAGAAAGCATACGAATTCCGGGGGGAAGCGCAGATGAAAGTCAAAGGCGGCTCTACCGCGAAAGGTGGAAGGCATACAAATTCCGTGAAGAACGTCGATAAAGGATAGTAGGATAGTCTAGGGTGCCCCAGAAATGTCACAACTCGAGCAAACACTTCATGTACCACTCTACGACGTCCACATCTCGCGTCTCGCCAACCGAATCCAACTCTTTCATGTTCTCATCCCTCATCCAGCCGTCTTCTATCCATCCCGCGGTTCTCGAAAGGTACGGGGCCCGCGTCCCCACTTCTGCCGATCTTGGTCTCTGACGTACAGAACCGAGGTATCATCAGCGGAGTGAACGGAGGATTCCCGGCTTACTACTACGCCTCCGCGCCTCCGCCTAAAAGCACAACAGATATCAGGTCGCCTTTCTTTTCCTTGGAACTGCTGCACGAATGCGAAAGGGTTTGAATGTAATAAAGTTTTTGGAATGAAAGTATCAATACATGAATATAAATAAATGGAATAGAGTGGATAAAGGCATGGAGTGTTTGAGGAAACTTTACTTGTACGGCTTTTCCGCCCGCGCTTCTTCTCCATCCCCACCGTCGACACAATCATAAACGTCACCTCGCCGCGCCCGTCGCGCTCGTCGAACCTCACGCTGCTTGTGTTCATCAACCGCCCTTCCCGCTCCTTCTTCGCCAGCACCTCCTGCACGGCCGCGCCCACCCCGCCCGCGCCACCTCCTTCTCCGCCGTCTTCGTCCGCTGCCGCTCCTGCTCGCGCTTCAACTTCTTCTGCGCGCCGTCCTCCACCCGCTCTAGCCTGCACGTCGCCGGGGATTGGCTTGTCGCCAGGAAGACTTGGGGGTGGGGAGGTGGACGCATGGGGATGGGCGAGGGGCGATGGGCGAGGGGCGATGGGCGATGGGCGATAAGGGGTTGCTCAGTCTGGTTGCTGCGATGAGGAATGGTCACGCGAGGTCATGTGACCTGTGAACAGGCAGGTCGCTGGTTTGAATTGTGTCGGCGGAAACGCTGCGCAAAGGAGTGCACCGCTGGCATGCCGCTCGCTCATTGATGCATTGCAAACTGTCTTTGTTTCTGAGGTGGATCTGAGAGGTGGATCTGAGAAAAGAGTGAGACAAAATGAGGTCAATTTTAAGCCAAAAAGTAGGATTTAATTCTAATTCTGTACTTTTGTATGATGGTTGTTGACTTCTTGCCATTGCTCTGGGTGTGGTAAAAGGAAGTGCCCCCTGGCCAGGAGACAGGTGGAGAGGGATGTGCACAGTATATGTAGTAGCGATATCCAACACTGCCGCATTCGATGCTTCCGAAGTGGCCTGCCCCTGGACAAAAAGCTCAGCTCCGCTACGTACACTAACACACCCGGGGGTCCAAGACATCTAGACCAGGCGATTGCGCTTGAGGCCGCAACATGGCCTTTCCTTCACACAACTCGGACAGCGCTTTTCCGCAGCCACAGTCTCCCAATACTTTCAACTCTCCCACTTCTCCAGCCTCGTCCACATTCGCCGACGAAAGCGATCTCCTCGTGCAAGACGAGCATATTGGTGAGCTTCATCTCGTCCCCTGCGAACTTGATGTATACTTGGATTTGCCGAACAAAGCAGAAGATCGTTACGAACTTGTTGAAGGAATTTTGTTTCATCGCCCCAACATGACCGATGCTCAACACGCGATCATGAAGGGATTCATCGTGGCTAAGTTCAGGGCCGTCGAGCTGACCGGTAACAATCGTGTGAATATCTACACTGCGCCCAAAGTTAAGGTCTGTTCCGGGAAGAGTCAGTCGCCGAGCGTCCGAATTCCGGATGTTGTTGTGGGTCCGTACGCTTCCGCTCAAAGCACCGGCAACGCATCTCCCCGGTCACAGAAAATCATGTTTCACGAAGACAACATACCACGCATGGTAATAGAAATCACCACCCCGAACAACAGACTGACTGACATGAACGCCAAGTCTAAGGAGTACTGCCGCACTGGGATTGAGACATATGTTATGTTAGATCGTGAGGCGGATCGCGTGATAGTAAGAAAGCTAATCCGAAACACCCGTTCTCGTCTTGACTACGACTCAGAGGTTGTATACACAGGGGATACGCTTGTGGACTGCTTTTTGTTCCGTGAACGCAACCTAACTGCAGAAAATATATTTAGACCGCAGCAGACCGCAGAAGAGGCCGCCCAGTCACCGACCCGGAGAGAACGGCGTGCAAAGGAAGCAGAGCAAGCAATTGCTGCATCAGAACGGCTTGCAGCGGAAGCAGCGGAAGCGGCTGCTGCATCAGAACGGCTTGCAGCGGAAGCAGCGGAAGCGGCTGCTGCATCAGAACAGCGTGCAGAGGAAGCAGAAAGGCGTGCAATGGAAGAAGCGCAAGCAACTGCTGCATCAGAACGGCGTGCAAAGGAAGCAGCACAAGCAAAGGCAAAAGCAGCCCAGGCGAGAGTAGATGAGCTCGAAAGGCAGTTGGAGGAATTCAAAGGCGGCTCTACCGCGAAAGGTGGAACGCATACGAATTCCGTGGGGAAGCGCGGATGAAAGTCAAAGGCGGCTCTACCGCGAAAGGTGGAAGGCATACAAATTCCGTGAAGAACGTCGATAAAGGATAGTAGGATAGTCTAGGGTGCCCCAGAAATGTCACAACTCGAGCAAACACTTCATGTACCACTCTACGACGCCACATCTCGCGTCTCGCCAACCGAATCCAACTCTTTCATGTTCTCATCCCTCATCCAGCCGTCTTCTATCCATCCCGCGGTTCTCGAAAGCTACGGGGCCCGCGTCCCCACTTCTGCCGATCTTGGTCTCTGACGTACAGAACCGAGATGTCATCAGCGGAGTGAACGGAGGATTCCCGGCTTACTACTACGCCTCCGCGCCTCCGCCTAAAAGCACAACAGATATCAGGTCGCCTTTCTTTTCTTTGGAACTGCTGCATGCACCAAAGGCGTAACAGGTGGGATGATGGTTGAAAACTGTGTTTTTGCAGTTGTCTTCTACTGCATGGTGGGGCTCGAGGCATCACGTTTTGGATATTTGTTCTTGGCTGGGCAATATTTTTACTAATCAGTTATGGTCGGGGTCATGTTGACGGGTATCACTGCTGGGGATGGCGGCATGTACGCAAGCGATGCGAAGCGGGATAGAAAAGGAAGGAATTAGTAGAGACAAGTGGGCTCCGTGGCGCGGGGCGCGTTGCGCGTCGCAAGTGGGGAGGAATGCGAAAGGGTTTGAATGTAATAAAGTTTTTGGAATGATGTCATTATCTCGCCGCAAGGTGTGAAGGTGGCCGCGGAAGTAGTTTTTCGAGAGGCTTTTCCTAGAACTGACTGCGAAGGACACGCAGTTCGCACTCGGATCTATCCTGCCGCAATGCAGTTCCAGGGGCGACGGTCCGCTTCCTTTCTGTCGTAGCTGTAATTGGATGCCCATATATGTAAGCCCATACTGTAGCACAGTGGCCAGGTTGGGGGGAAATTTTGAAATTTTGAATTCGCCACATGTCTAGCGCAAATCGGACCCACCCAACTCTTCCGAGACCCGCTCCCTGACCACCGATTCAAAGCCATCTGATTCCCGCCTTTCCATCCATCCCATCCCAACAACCATTGCAACATCCCTTTATCCTCACCCACCAAACCAACCCTTCCCTCTCTCGTCACGGAGCCTCTGGCTCGCCAACTACCATGTCTGCTCCTGAGTGGGAATCATCGAAAGAGAACGTCCTCCCCGTCTCGCATGGCCGCAGTGTCCCCGCCCTCAACGACGCCCTCGTCATGAAAACAGAGGATCTCAACCGTCAACGTGCCCTTCACGAAGCCGCCATTCGCGACGGCCAGAACGGCATCGGACCTTACGCGGCCGATCCGCTCGGCCCCTGGGTCATGTACGCCAAGTGGGTTGTCGACTTCTTCCCGCGCGGCTCCGATTTGATTGTCTCCGTCGTCGAAGGCGCCTGCCGCCGCTACGCAAAGGACCCAAAATACCGCAACGATCGCAGATTCGTCCGCTTGTGGATCCGCTACGCAGATCTCCGTGATGACAAGCTCGATGTGTTCGAGTACATGCAGCGCCATCGTATCGGGGAGGTTGTCGCGCTTTATTACGAGGCCTGGGCTACCACGCTCGAGCTCGCGAAACAGTACGATAAGGCCGAACAGACCTATGCCCTTGGCTTGCGCATGGGCGCGGAACCTGCCCAGCGACTCGGACAACGCCAGCGCGAGTACTTTGCGAGAATGGCCGCTCGCGCTCGCAGAGCGGAGAAGAGGGCGAAGGATGCTGAGGAGAGGAAGAAAGATGTTGCGAGAGCCAAGGACACTCGCGCTGCTCGCGGAAGAGTCACGCTTGCGGACGATATTCTTGCCCGTCCGGATGCCCATGATGCTGCCATGAGTGGCCCCGGCGATGCAAGTGCCGGACCGGTGGCTTCGAGCTCGACCAAAGTGCGCCCAGCCCTTGGTCCCATTTCGGAACGCCAGGCTCTCACTGGTAGACGACCCATGTCATCAGTACGGAGTAGCAAGCCGCGGCTGGGGCAGAAGTCTATAGTTGGTTCTCCACGTCCTGATAAGAATAGAGAGGCGCAGGTGGAGCGGTTTGAGGTTTTTGCAGATGCTTCGGCCAGTTCGGAATCGCCACTCGCGGTCCATCATGTGAGAACGATGGAAGCGGACGGGTTTCCATTTAAGCCTATAAGCAAGCGCGAAGAAGTTCAGAAAGAAAATGGGGGTATGCTGCCCTCGAAGTGGGCCGGTGAGACTCTTCCCCAGAGTGCTAAAGCAAAGAGCGTGCTCGACCGACATAGACCCGCTGCGCAGACGCATGTAGAAATATACCAAGAGCCGGACGTTGAAGAGGCATACAGTCCGACTCCACCACCAAAAGGTTCGATGTCAACGACGGAGCCACTTGAGGAAGAAGATATTCGCTCTCCTAATCATCATAGAAGGAGTTTGGGGATGGGTGCAACATCACCCACAATCAACACCAAACTCGCATTGCAGGAGGTTGAGGACCTTTTCAACTCTTCTCTTCCGATGGAACGGGCTAGGGAAGAAGCGAGGGCAGAGTCCTTCTCTGCGCAACGTGCCGCGACGAGAGAGGAGAAAAAAATGCAACAGCCAACGTTTGAGATTTACATGGATGGAGATGAGAACCTGAGTGCCCAGACTTCAGCACAATCTTCTACTGCAATTCCTTCAAAGGACATGGCCGACAAGGAAAATGCCCTTGGCGTGAGGAAACCTCTCACGCGTATGGGAGATCACGAAGGAAGCGCTGGCCTCGGCAAGCGTGTTTTGCGGCTCATTGAGCAGGCAGGAGACGAACAGGGGCAGGCACGCCGAGAAGACATGTCAGAGAGACAGACGGAGCCAAGCCGTGAGGGCCACCTTGAGAGTCGTGATGGCCTTCAACAAAAGTCTGATATGCATATAGATGAACACATCGAAGAGTTGGGGGATGGACAAGCTGAAACCACGGTTGCCAGTGAACACATGGATTTCCTTGCGAACTGGTGTATCAAAGAACCTGGCTACCATCTCCTTGACGGGCCGGACCCGGAAGTCGAAAAGGACGGGCTCTTTGATCTTGAACCACCTGGCCAACCGATCACTTCCTTCAACGTCGACATGTACCTGTGGCAAGGGTACGAAGGTAAGTCTGAAGTAGTCTTTGTAGAAGACTTGTGCAACGTACTGGAGCTGCGTGATTCCGAGGATATGGACAGTGGAGCCGATCATCGTCTGGCACTCAAAATGTCCGAAAACGACAACTCCACGTGGGAGTTCTACGTTTATAGAATGGTGCATGATCGATACGGGACGCCCATCCGAAGTGTGCCGTCTGCTGTGGCGTTCTACATTGGGAACCCTCGGTCATACCTCATTCTGAACTCTGTCGCCCCCTGTACGCTTGCGGAGCTTATAACCTTATCGGGTGACGAGTTGATCCCAGAGCCCGTGGCGATGTTCCTGGTGGTTGATCTGCTACGCACACTTGAGGCTATTCACACGACGGGAATTATTCATGGGGATGTTACATTAGACAACGTCTTGTTCCGAGATGATGTCGATGTCGAGCTCTCGGAAAATACGTATAATGGAAGCTCAGCTAGTACCTGGGGGTCAAAGGGGGTATCAGTGGTTGATTTCAACCACGCCGTTGACTCGCAGCTAGTGGACGGTGATGTGAATGCGCTGGCGAGGCATGTATCGAAACTGGGAAATGATTTTCTGGCGGACGACTATCGCCGGAAAGACACCGCTTTATGGAGTTTCAATGCGGACTGTTACGCGGCTAGTGTCTGCGCCCGAAAGCTGCTGAAGCTGGACGGAACGGAGAGTGTAGATAGCAAGCTGAAGCACAGTGCGATATGGGGAAGGTTCTTCGAGGCGATGGCAGAAATAGGGTATACGGCGAGGGGTGCAGAGACAAGCGATGTTATGAAGAGGTGCAGAGCGGAGATGGAAGCAGCTTTGAAGGGGGACTTGGGGTTAAGGGGGTCTTTGGTAAGGCTGTGTGGGGAGGTTGAGAGGAGAAACTCGTTTGACGATACAATTTGTTAGAGGGCGAGCTGTTGCAGGAGTAAGTTAGCTTCTCTTGGCGCAGGCTTTTGTCTTTGAGAGTCGCTTTGCTGGTGGAGATGTAGAAGTCAGTTTCTCGCAAAAGGAGGGTTTCAGGAGACACGAGGTGTCCAGCGTGTAGAGTAAAATATATAATGCGCTTGTGAGGGCGTGAAAGTTTCCGTCATTGTTGCCTTGTACCTGTCCGTCAACGGGTGATAGCGCCAGAGGAGAAAAGAAATTGCTCCTTGCAAATGCCAGACATCCTTCGGCAGCAAGTACTTTAATCTTAGAGGCAGACGGGTTTGCCCACTTTCGCTATTTCAATCAATATTTTCATCAGAAGTCTCGCCGCCTTCACGGTCAAAACGCTCAATATTAGTTAACCATGTCCCCGAACTTTTCGATAAGTAGGGAAACACGAGGAAGCATTCCTTCCCACCAAGGTGCGGTCCTTGCAAAACGGGAGGAACCCCCGAGCCGCAAAGGAGTTCCGCAAGAAAGCAACTGGAGCCAAAATCTCGGTAGGTTCCATGCACCCCATGCATTGTGCCGTCTAACCTCCTGCTTCCGTTGTGGGATGACGGCGTGGTGGCCCCTTTGCCAACAAACCAACTATACATGAGGGCCTTTTTCACTATTTACAGTTTTGCGCTAATCCCCGGCGGTACACCTTTTGTGTTCTTGGGCTCCCATCCCGCATCTGGGACTGGGGGCCAAACCTTTCTTGGCTCGACCTCCCTGACACAACGGTACTTCTTCAAATCGGTGACGCCCTTCCAACTCAAGTACTCTTCATCAATCAAGGCCATTCCGGAAAACAAGTCCGGCTCCTGGACGATCTTGAGCACGCAGTCAGCTAAAATATCAGCCTTTCGCCACTGGGTCCTGTCGGCCATCTTAAAGTTCCTAGTGGCAAAGCTCTCAATCAGGGTCGCGGGCCACAGAGCGTTGATGGCGACGCCCGTGTCCTGAAGCTCGCGGGCAACGCCCATGGCGATCATAGTCATACCAAACTTTGAAATGGAGTAGGCGACCTTGCCCTTGAGCAAGGACAAGTCGACGGGGGGCGACATGACGATAATGCGACCATAGCCCTGCTCCTTCATGACGGGGATGCTCGCCTGCACGCAACTAAAGACGGCACGGGCGTTGACGCCGTTGACAAGGTCGTACTTGCTCATGGGGGTGTCTTCGACGTCACGCCACCACAGCGCGCCCGAGTTACAAATGAGGTAGTCCAGCCTGCCGAAGGTGGCGACGGTCTTGTCGACCATGCCCTTGACGGCGGCGTCATCACGGACGTCCACCTGCACCGGGAGGGCGCGGGAGCCGAGGAGACGGACCTCGGCGGCGACCGTGTAGATGGTGCCAGGCAGGTTGGGCTTCTCAGTGACTGACTTGGCCGCGATGACGACGTCGCAGCCCGCGCGCGCCAGCGAGAGGGCAATGGAGCGGCCGATGCCGCGCGAGGCTCCCGTGACGACGGCGACGCGGCCCGCTAGGGGGGGGTCTGCGAGCAGGTGCGAGGAGGAGGGCATGGTCAGGCTGTGAGGTGGAATGAGGGCTCACTCCAAAGACGGGAGCGAAGAAATGGAGCAAGAAGGAGCAGAGTGAAGAGGACTCTTTTGGGGTGCGGTGACAAGGCCATTGGTCAATGGAACGTGTAATGGCCAAGATGTCTATCTCGAGATACCATGCCAGTGGAAGGGTCCGTTCTAATACGTGTACTCGTTGTATCGCTCTGCACTATTGCGTGAGCGCCGCACTGTTCCGTATACTGTGATGTACACGTGTTCGCCGTGCCCCCTTGAAATACTGTGACCCTTATCATGCTCTCATTCTCTCCTCTCCTGGCCCGCTGCCGCCTCCGAACTCGCCATCTCGCACCTCCGCATCCCCTCCTGCCGTCGCCCACCCCACGACCCACGACCTCGTCATGAGCGTGCGCGCCAGCGACGTCCGCAAGCTGTACAAGGCGCTGCTCCGGCACGGCGGGCGCTTCTCCGATTACAACTTTCGCGAGTACGCGGTGCGCCGCACGCGGGACGCCTTCCGCGCCGCGCGCAACGAGACCAGCCCGGACGTGGTCAACGCCCGATACTACGACGGCCTCAACCAGCTCGCAATGCTCAAGAGACAGTCCGCCATCAGCCAGATGTTCAAGGCAGACCCCGTCGTTATCGAGGAGGGCAAGGCACCGCGGTAAGGCCGCAACTACCGTTCCGACGCAGACGCCGCCCGCCTGCGCACCGCACCCGCCTGATCGGTGCCAGGGCTCGGTGCCAGGGATGTCAAAGCCGCCGCACGTCCGATCGCACGCTCAACCTGGTGGTGAGGGCCTTTCGCAGGCAAGGCGTGGCTTGTCGTGCGCTGGGAGTGCCTGTCGTTGCCGCGGCACGATGCTTTTGCACGTGCATGAATGTCAGAGGATAATGATGGATGTGCCGATGTCTGCCATTCTCGCACGGTCTTCGCGTAACCAGAGCAGTCGTGCCGCTTTTTGCTTACAAGTCCTGCTTGTTATAGTGGTTTTTATGGTATTACATTGATGAGAAACGGAAGAGAGCTTGCGACTTCGCTGTACGGGACCTGTTTACAATGTTGAAGGATGTTTAAAAAGTCTGTTTTGAGCCCGTATACTTCCTTACGAACACTACAAACTGTGCCTACCCCGTAGCTTTGTCCATAGCTTCATCTCCACCTCCTCAACCTGTCAGTGTGCCTACACTAGCTCTGACTTCGCACGCGAAAAGACGTCTTACAAATGTTTAGACAGGCATCAAGTCCTGCCAGAACACGTCACCACGCCGCGGATATACCAAAACCAACAAAAAAAAGTTGCCTGCAACAAGCGCGGGCCCGGAATAATCGAGACCAAAAGCAAAAAAGACTGCGAAACAAAACGATCAAATAGGAGATATCACTCCTGCTTTACATCCCATCCAACGTCACACATTCCTCCCACCCCCACTCCGTGACCGCGACATCAACACAACCTGCCTCAAACGCCGGTGCAAGAAAATGAATTGGGACGAGCGTTTACTTGGCCGGCTGCTGTGTGAGCGGGACAGTGACCTCGGCCGGGGCGTCAGTCTTGGGTCCAGCCTTAGGCTTGTTTGCCTTCGCGTACGTCTTGTAGAACAAGGCGCCAAAGACGACGACGGCACCAAGCCATTGCAAGGGGGTCATACCGTGGCGGAAGATGAGGTTCGACATGAAGACGGAAAGGAACTGGCGAATAGTCATGATGGTGGCGTACAACAAAGCGCCGAACTCCTTGATGGTGTAGGTGATGGCAAACTGACCAGACACCGCGGAGAAGGAGAGAATGCTCATGTCTCCGACAACTGAGGGGTACTTTGTGAGGAAGGCGATCGAATCGAGGACCTTGCCTGAGGCGACGAGGAAGCCGATGCTCATCATACCGGAGCAAAGGTTGACGTAAAGCATCTGGTTGTAGATAGTCATCTGGTAGCCAGAGAAGAGCTTCTCCTGGAAGGTGGAAGTGAAGCCGTCAAAACCAAGATAACCAAGCATGAGAAGGAGTCCGAACCACGAGTCCTCCGCGCTGGCCTTCTTCGCCTTGATGTTTCCGGAGACGAGGAAAACTGTGCAGCCGAGGGCGACGAAGATGGCGACACCGTACTCGACCGGGCCATACTTCTTGCCGGACATGAAGGTACCCCAAATCATAACTGGAATCATCTTGCAGCACTTTGCCAAAGTCTGAGTGGGGAAGGTGACCCACTTGAGGGCCTCATACTGGCAGCTCGTGGCGATGACATTGGAAAAACTGATGAGGAAGTACTTATACAGCGGGGCCTTATTCCGAAGCTCTCCCCAGTCGCCCTTAACGAGGAGGACGAGGGCGGCGACGAACGCGGCGGAAAAGCGATTCGCAAAGACGAGGACCAAGGTGTTCTTGAAGTACTCGCCGTCCTCCCCGTCGGGCTCCTCGCCCGTGAAGTAAGGCTTGGTCATGATCCTCTCCTGCAGCAGGGCGTATAACAAGAGCGAGCCGATGATACCCACGACGCACATCATGACGCGCGGGGAGGGGACATACTTCCAGATGCCGACCGGCTCGGGCGCGGCCGTGGGCTCCGGCTCGGAGTTCTTCTCGGGGGTGGCCATCGTGTGTTGCGGGGCGACGGGGCGGGGGGGCAAAGTGCGGGAATGGAGGTGAGTAAGAACGGTGGGGGGGCGCGGAGTGGGGGGAGAGCGGGGAGTTCCGATTGGGACGCGGAGGGTGACGGCGTTCGGCGGCGGTGAAACGGAGAGAGGTATTTGTATTGCGGACGGGGAAGGGGGCGGTGTCAGACGGCGTGGTGGGGCGGAAGGGCGGGCTGACGGTGAGCGTTATGAGGCATTTTAGGGGCGCATAGGGCGGCACAGTGCTTACAGTTGCCGATCTCGGTTTTGGTGCATGCGGACGGACCCCAACGTGTGGTCAAACACAAGCGGCGTTCCTGATTTCACCCCTTTTTTGCGCCGCCCCGTTTGATCGCCGACCCCCCCCCCCCCCCCTGCAAAAATTCCAAAGCTACCTCCTCCTGAAATTTAAAACTTCATGAGGACCCCACCACA